TCTTTCTTTCTTTCTTTCTTTCTTTCTTTCTTTCTTTCTTTCTTTCTTTCTTTCTTTCTTTCTTTCTCTTTCTTTCTTTCTTTCTTTACCTCCCGGAAGAATCTTTTAGATAACATTTCTGGCTTTTTGTCCTCTCTGCTTACATGGCTGCTTCATCTTTAGTTATGGCAACTTCAGTCCAGTCTCACAGGATTTAGGACAGTGTTTCTCAACCTTGGCGACTTTAAGTCATGTGGACTCAACTCTCAGCTGGCTGGGGAATTCTGGGAGTTGAGGTCCACAGGACTTAAAGTCGCCAAGGTTGAGAAACACTGGTTTAGGAGGAGGTGTCTGACCCATGGCAGATCTCCCATGCAACCCCTGCCCCCCCCCCCAAAAAGAACCAATGTAAGCTAATATGGTGGGCAGAAAAGTAGTTGTCTTGGCGGATGCTTGGATTCTGGGCATGTCCTTCCTGCTGACCCTCCTTACTTGCCAAAGAAGATGCAAGGAAGGCTGACAGGTGGGATGTCTGCCTCCTTTTCCAGCTGTGGCTTCATATCCCTCCAACTGGAAATCACTTGCTGCAGCCCTTCTGGATCAGGCCTTCCTCTCCAAGCCTTCATAGGAGGAGAACAATCTCTGCCTCTGGTTCCAGTGTGCTTGGGGGCACCTGAGACTGCAAGCCTTCAATGGGAAACCAAGGAGAAAGCCCAAGCGATATCCCAAATCTTTGTCCAGTGCTAAAGCAGGAACTCAGTCTCAAGGACCTCAAGTACTTAAGAGCCCCCAGTGTGAATGAGATGAGGCCTCAAACGTCCACGTGTTTTTCATATATTAACAGAGTTGGAAGGACCTTGGAGGTCTTCTAGTCCAACTTCCTGCTCAAGCTACCATTCCAGACAATTGGCTGTCCAGCCTTTTCTTAAAAGTCTCCAGTGATGGAACATCCACAACTTCTGAAAGCAAGCCATTCCACTGGTTACTCATTCTCCCTGGGAGGAAATTTCTCCTAGGTTAGATCTCTCCTTGCTAGGTTTCCATCCATTGTTTCTTGTCTTGTCTTCTGGTGCTTTGGAAAATAGGTTGACTCCCTCTTCTTCTTTTTGATCTCCCCTCAGATCCTGGACTACTGCTATCATGTCACTCCTAGTCCTTTTTTTTCACAAAACTAGACATACTCAATTCCTGCAACCATTCTCCATATGTTTTAGCCTCCAGCTCTCTAATCATCTTTCTTGATCTTCTCAGCACTCTTTCCAGAGTCTCAACATCTTTTTTATAATATGGTGACCAAAACTTGATGCCATTTTCCAAGTGTGGTCTTACTAAGGCTTTATAGAGTGGAACTAATACTTCACGTTATTTTAATTCTTTCCCTCTGTTAATGCAACCCAGGATTGTGTTGGCTTTTTTGGCTGCTGCTGCAAACTGCCGACTCCTATTTAAATCATTGTCCACTAGGACTTCAAGATCCTTCTCACAGTTACTACTATTGAACCAGGTTTCTGTATGCTTGTTTAATCCAGGTTTAGCAGTCTGGGATAATCCCTCTTTGATGTCTGTCTCAGGTGACCACAATGTGGGAGAGGTATGAAAATGCCACAGGAGGAGCTTTCACGGCACTCACCTCAGATCACCAGCTCCCGGCTGCTGTGGTGGGGGAGATTGTGATGACCATGTTCCTGGTGATGGCTGTCTGCATGGGGGCCATTAATGAGAAAACCAAGAGTCCACTGGCACCCTTCTGCATTGGCTTCACCGTCACCGTGGACATCCTGGCTGGGTAAGTTGGCCAAAAGGCTGGCAGGTTCTTCTTCCCAGGTCTAGGAGGAAGTTTTTTTCTCCAGCAATTCCTTCCGCAGCCAGCCCTGCTCCCTGGGTCGACATTCTCTGCTATTGAATTGGTTCCTAATACTGTCCTTAAAGAGGGGAGCAGAGAGGCAGCCCTGGAAAGATCCAATCTTCAAATGCTTCCTTTGGCTGGTGCAACACCTTGAGGACAGACCTGTACCAGGGATGAAATCCAGCAGGTTCTGGAGGACCAGTAGCGGAAATTTTGAGTAGTCCAGAGAACTGGCAAATGCCACCCCTGGCTGGCTCCAGAGTGGGGAGGGAATGGAAATTTTGCAGTATCCTTCCCCTGCCACCCCACCAAGCTATGCCCACAGAAGTGGCAGTAAAACAAATTGAATTTCACCACTGCTTTATACCTATGTTTTATAGCAGTGGTCCGTAACCTTTTTGGCACCAGAGACCGGTTTCATGGAAGACAGATTTTCCATCGGAGGGGGAGGGGGAGGGGGAGGGGGGAGGAGGAGAGTGCAACCTTTACAGTAGGGTTTGCTATGGGTCCTGTTCTTACTGTGACCCGAGGTTGGGGACTCCTGCTTTATAGGGTTTTCAGACAAGAGGTTTTGATTTGGTTTGAAAAAGATGCAACTCATTGCCCCACAAAATTTGTTCCCATTAATTAATGCTTAACTGCCCTCTTCCTCAAAAAACAAAATCTGCCATGTTAAATGTTAAATAAAAAGTGCAACATCATATTACTACCTATTTGCGTGGGTCACCTCCATCTCCAGCCTCCTTCATTCCCCCTTCCCTTCCCTCCCCTCCCCACAGTCTCAGGTGTCAACACATGTACAAGTTACCAAGCACCCTCACTTCTCTACCTAACCCAAAAGCTGTTTCTTCCATTCTGGGAGGAAGACAGGCAGGTGCAGAGCTGGTTTCAAGAAGGGTGAACTTGGAGCATTTCCACATCTCAGAACACGAATATAAAAACATTGGCAGGTGTAAGAAACAACTGTGCACGTGCTCACCACAACCAGGGAGAGGGAAGGCTGGCAGCCATGACAGCTGATTCTGAGACCTTCTCAACACCTACTGGATTCAAGTCCCCCGAGCGCACCTGCTCCTTGAGGGATTAAGGTCCATTATGGAAGGGATTTAGCCTGTGGAAAGCACAAGGAGATAAAACTCGCCCTCATGAGCTTGCCTGGGCATCCTCTGAAATCAGGGAAGGAGCCATTTGCAGCCCAAATTTGACGCAGGAAGGAAGCAGCATCGCCATCATTATCCACTGGTCAGCTCCCCTGGAGGCGGCAGGGCTTCCTGACCTGCTGGACAGCTCCGCTGCCTGGCTGATGGACAGAGCCCTGGGGCTGGGCTGGGCTGGGCTGGGGGCTTTAGGGTGGGCAGAAACAACTTTTCTGGCCTGCCTGGGGAGAACCCTGTCCCTGGCACTCTTTGCAGCTGGGATCCAGGGTGAGGGTGCCCATCTGGGCTCTTGGGCCCTTCATGCCTAGAAGCATTCAAACTATGCCTCTCTCCATCATCACTGAGGTTTTGTCTGGAGGAGGTTTCAATCCCGCCCCACCAGCAATCAGGGAGATGAACTCCCATACCCCTCAATTGATAAAAATGAGAAAGAGAGCCGAGTGGCCATTATGTGCTTCAGCTGCAGTTCAGCTGCTAAGTCATTTTTCCCAGCTGTTGCTGACAGAGTTCAGCCAGTGGAGGGAAGAGGGTAGCCTCCAAGGAGGGGACCTGGAATCCCTGGATGGCTCTCTTCCTGATTTTGACTCAGATGATAGACATGGCCCATTGCCAGCGGCATCTCCCCTTACAGATCCACGTCATGGTGTCCCCACCCCTCACCGAAATTGTTGGTGCCTCACAGCAAAATCCCTGGGAATGCCTGCTTCTTCTTTCAGAATAATAGAATAACAACATGACAGTTGCCCACTCGCTGGCCTTGTGGAGTGGGGTTGGGGTTCTGTTTCTAGCCATCCAGAAAATGCATCGCCCTGCAGTGCTTGCCTGCTGCTTGTCTAAAGACCAATTGAAACTCTGCCTGCAGCAGCTCTTCCCCTCGCTTGTCCTGGAGGTTCCTCTCCCGGTTATTTCAGCGCCATTTCAGTGTACACCGAGGAGACTTGGATGCAGTTGGCCTCTTGGCCCAACTGGAATTGGGCTTGTCTTGGTCAATGTCTTGGGATGGGTGGATGGGAGGGGGGCACTCTTAGTATTGCCAATTAACTCTGCGCTCAGTTACAATAAAAGGGGCAGTAGAGAAGACATCTCTAGGGGAATTCTTTGCCCAGAATGGAGAATCCTGAAGCCTTGAAAACATCCCTGGGAGGGGCCGCTTAATTCTTTCAATCTTTCTTCTCTCTTCAGGGGAGCTGTTTCTGGAGCCTGCATGAATCCAGCCAGAGCTTTTGGCCCCGCGGTGGCTGCCAACCACTGGGACTATCACTGGGTGTACTGGGTGGGCCCCATGGGAGCTGCGCTTCTGGTGGGTGCATTGATAAGGTACGTGCCATGTTTTCAGGGCCTCCCAGAATGCCCTGTGGGGAGAGCTGTATGGGTCTGGGGGGGAACCTCATTCCAGAGGGCAAATGCCACTTCATGGGGTTGCCTGGCTGAGCTAGTTGGATTCTTAGCTTGACTCTGGAGTGGGACTCAGGAATTAATTGCCCCACAGCAACGATTCCTCAAGTAACAGTCAACGGAACTTCTCAGATTGTATGACATGTTAAAAGATCCCAGTTTCATCGAGAATGAGAATAAGGAAGTGTTTGGCATGCAGAAATCCCACATTCAGTCCTGGCAGGTCCAGGCCAGCCCCCCCCCCCCACTGAGAACCAAGTCAGTGTCGTCTTGGCCATGTCAGGAATGGATGCCTCAGGGCTGCCTGTTGCCTCTCAACCGCTTTTGTTCGGTCTCCCAAAGTTTTCAGTGTGACAGAAGGCATAAATAAGGCAACACATGGGAAGTAATCACATTTGTTTGTAATTAATCTAATTGCAAATATGTTTAGCAGTAACGTGGTTTTGCTTGACTATTGTAAAGTTTATTTGTAAAGTTTTTTTGTAATTGTAAAGTTTATTTATAGGCCGCCCTTTTCCCTGAGGGGACTCAGGGCGGCTTACAACTTACAGGGAGGGGAATACAAACAGTAATATATAAACACAGTACATAATTAAAATATAGAAACAACATTCATCATTCGGGTGGGGACGGATTACAATCTTTACCCCCAGGCCTGACGGGATAGCCAGTTCTTGAGGGCTGTGCGGAAGGTCTGGAGGGTGGTGAGGGTACGAATCTCCACGGGGAGATCGTTCCAAAGGGTCGGAGCTACTACTGAAAAGGCTCTCCTCCG